GTTACATCTTATTTTCTTTGTTTTCCCCTTCCATGGCTGCTGCTCCTCATCTACCTCTACTCAGTCGTCATTCTCTTCGGTGCAGTCTTCACCATCGCTTGCTTCCACAGCTACGTCCGCTGCTTCTTCCACCACAGTCACCATCAACGACATCGTCGCAACCATCGCTCTCTCACCTCCCTCCTCGATGCCATCCGCCCAGGTCCCGAGATCCTCAAACCCAGTCCTATCTCGAAACTAAAACCCTGGCGCTGGTTTATGCTCCATCTGTGTCTCCAATGGGGAGTCGGGTTCGGCCTGGTTCAAGAAACCCCGGAGCTTCACCGTGAGTCTGAAAGGAAACCCCAGATCGAGCCTCTTAATCATCGCCTTAGTCGCCATCGCACTCGTCCTCACAGTATCGATGTATTTGGGTACAGAGTCGACGGCGATAATGGTACCGTGTTTGATTTTGAAAATGATGGGTTGGTGTCGATGTGGGTCAATCCTGGGCTCCCGGCGTATGCAGAGGATCCAGAATCGGCAGGTGTGTTGCTGCGGAAGCCTGTGGAGAGTGGGAAGGGGAGGATTCCGAATGAGCATTGGGCGGAGACAGAGATTAGGCTTATGGCTACATAGGGGCTTCGATTGCTTGACTTGGGTGGCCAAAATGAGATTTTGAAAGGCCCATAAACTCGATTTTTTTTCTTTTTTCTTCTTCTTCTGCTTCAAAAGCCGTTTGTTGGTGACTTTTTCTGGTGGGCACTGTCCAGTTGGATTTTTTATGCTCAAGAAGCGGCAGACCTCCTTCAGGTCCCTCAGTTTCACTTACACCATTCGATTTGCCGTCGTCCGTACATCAGCAAACACCATGAAGCAGCTCACCCGTCGTCTGTCCCTCACTGGAGCACTGAATTTTACAGCCACCAAGATGTACGCATGGCAGCCAACACACTAGATCCCAAGAACTGGAAGACATGTGGATCAGATGGTTACAAAAGCAGAGGATTACTTTTCCAAGTGGGGAGACAGGGGTGTGGTGGATTTAAAATATAAGTTGGAGCATCTGATTATATTGACCGCCAGCAGATGCCTTTTGGGTTGTGAGCTACTTTTGTTTTTGTCGACCACATGAAAAAAGGCATACTTATGCTACCAAGGTGCAGGCTTGTGGTGCTGCAATCAAGATGGGTTATCTTCAACAACCCACTTGGACAAAGGGAATAACTCTTCACATGTGTTACCATGCTTTGTCGCACTTATACAACAAAAAGAAAAGAAAGGCCCTCAGACAGCTCAATCACTCCCACAAAAGCGAAGCAGAAAACAAAAGCAAAAGCAACGCAGACTGCTTTATTGATTTTTTGAATGATGTAATTTATTTTTCCTATCTTTCGGAGACATCTGTATAAACCCCATCAGAGGGTAATAGTAAAAAAAAATAGCTCCAACCAGGCGATCAAAAGTACGCCCAGTACTCCACAATTATTCGGCAACCTGCCGCTATTAGCACCAACCAGGTGATCAAAAGTACGCCTAGTACTCCAAAATTATTCGGCAACCCGCCGCTATTACCACCAACTAAGTGATGAAATGTACAACACGTACTCTCTTTCATGCCACCAACTAGGTGAACAAAAGTACGTTCAGTACTTCAAAATTATACATGAGCATAACTCATGCCAATCATACATAAACATTCATGAGCATTACTCATATTAATCATACATAAACATTCATAAGCATCACTCATATCAACATTCATGAGCATCACTCATGTCAATCAGCTTCAAAAGCTTCATTTACAGAGTCCTAGCTTCAAAAGCTTCATTTATAGAGCCCTAGCTTCAAAAGCTTCATTTACAGAGCTCTAGCTTCAAAGCTTCATTTGCAAAGCTTCACCTACAAAGCTTCAGTGCAGGGTATACAAATACCGCCTCCGAACAACCGCCACTTCGGCCCATACATGGATTCAATTTGAAGTCTCCAGCCAACAGACTCTATTGACCGAAGACTTGGGGGACTACACTATACACCATATATTGGGCCTCAACTGGGCCTCATGAAAAATACTTGGGGGACTTAGCCCATTACTTATGTAGTGAGGAGCGAGCCCTTATCTATAAAAGGGACTCCCTCACTTTCACTAGAGAGCACCCATTGTTCATGTACTGAGGAGCGAGCCCTTATTTTATAAAAGGGACTCCCTCACCACCATTAGAGAGCATCGCCGCCTACTTAGCAACCGTCTCACCGCAAGCATCAACTCTAGCCCATCATTTATGTACTGAGGAACGAGCCTTTATTATATAAAAGTGACTCTCTCACCATCATTAGAGAGCGTCAACTCTAGCCCATCATTCATGTATTGAGGAGCGAGCCTTTATTCTATAAAAGGGACTCCCTCACCTTCAAACGCCGCAAGCCGAACCAACCAAGGCAACATAAGCCACGAGCCGAGCAGCCTCATAACGTGTGCTACTTCTAGTTGAGCGTCATTTCAGATTGAGCACTGCCTCATATCCAGCATCAGTTCAAGATAGCATCTAGTTACTTCGGCCCACACATTGACTGAATTTCAAGTCTCCAACCAAAAGACTCTCTTGACTGAAAACTTGGGGGACTACTGTTTATACCATATTTAGGGCCTCGTATTTAGACCTCGTATAAATACTCGGGGGACTTAAATGTAATTATGTAATAAAGGAATAGGCAAATATGTAATTAGGGGAGGAGCCCTTATTCTATAAAAGGGCCTCCTCACCCTCACAAACCCTAAGTCTCTCCTATCTAGAGCATAGCTCTCACATTCTCTCCCTCACAAGTACTCTCAGAGAAATACAATCAGTGTGGACGTAGCCCAAACCTTGGGGTGAACCACAATACATCTTGTGTTATTTACATTACTTGCAGATTCACGGTCGGATTTACGTTGTACCAAGACTTCCGGTTTTGTGCATCAACAAAAAGCATCATTTTTTTGCACAAAGTATGGATCATGGTTGCAAATAGCACTCATGATTTTGTCAAACAAATTTCGTTGCATTCTAAAACGACGTCTAAAAACATGATCAGGGAATATGCTATTGGGAATAAAATAATCTTCCAAGAGATCTTTACCTTGTCTTTCCCTTTTTCTATCGAGGTTTGCAGCACGTTTAGGTTTGGCTATCTAACCCATGACTTCCATGACACGGTGGGAATGTGAGGCCCTCTACCTTCTATGGTGATCATCCTCATCATCCTCCATGAAGAAAGCCTCATCTCCACCTCCACCTTCCTTGAGATTGGCCAATTCTGCTTGTTGTCCAACAACCTTTTCTGTTGCTCCTGCAACTGTTTATACACTCTCCTTGAAGAAGACATTGTAATAAGAACTCAAGATTTGAAAATGATGAACAAGGATTCTGAGCTAAAAATAAGGATTGAGCTTGGTGTGAGGATGGATGTAGTGATGTAGGGTTTATATGGACATAAAAAGAAAGGATGAGGTTCTGGGCAATGCCACGTGGCACTACGTGATTGGTTGAAAATCTTATCGAAATCTTGGCTAAATTATTGTAAACCAGAAATGACACATGGCGCGTCGGGATTGGTCAAAAATCTTATCGGAAATCTATCCACAAAATAGTACTTTCGGATAATGACACGTGGCATGACGTGATTGGTTGAAAATCTTATCGAAATCTTGGCTAAATTATTGTAAAACGGAAGTGACACGTGGCGCGTCGTGATTGGTTGAAAATCTTAGCGGAAATCTATTCACAAAATAGTACGTTCGGATAATGACACGTGACGTGACGAGATTGGTTAAAAATCCTATCCGAAAATAAAACTATTTTATTTTTTTATTCTTTTAGAAAAAATTTAAAAATATTTTAAATGGGCTGGGTGCCAGCGCATTTTTTTAGGGATGGAGATGTATTGGCCTACTATTGTTCATTAGAGTCTACTACTGTTCACTGGAGTGGATAAATAGGTTGGGTACCGGCACAAAGTCCTTAGGGATGAACTTGCTCTTATGGCTTTCTTCATTAAATTAATGGTGTGTCGTCATCCTATGATGAGATTGCATCGTTAACTTAGTGTTGGCCATCACATCATGACCTCTTAGCTTCTTGTTATTGGGTCGGGGTGTATTAGAGAACATGCAAGCCAGCATAAAGTTCTTAATCTGTAGGTAAAGAAATTCTAGCCCCGCTCACTTTAAAATTATGGGTCTGTCTTAACTAATTTTAAAACTAAACGACCCACATATATATTTCATTGCTTATGTGTTGGTAGAAGTCTTACGTAAGATAATTCTAGACCATCCAAATTACCCATATTGATGTGAAAACAAGCAGACCCATGCAACATGTTTGACAGTTCGTGACTTGTTAGCTTGGCAAGCGAAATGCCTTATATTTGCTTCTGCACAAAGAAACATATTCATCTTTTGAGAGATTTAAGGAGCAGTAACGTGGAGATCCAATAATTAAGGTCCAAGATCGAGCCTAGTTTAAATTACAAAGTCCACTCCAAATTAAGGGTTCAATAGTCTTCGACACTGCTCTGTTACAAAGTATTAGATCTTTTCATATGATTAATTGTTACTTTATTAAATTTGTTTACTACATTACATAGGCCCATAATTCAACTTTGGATGAAATATGATTATTACATGTCACATATCATCTACGAAAGTGCTAATGCATACAATCATACTAAAAAGAAAAGGTGGTGCTAGTATTCATACACCTATTTTTACTTTCACATATCCCTTTCAATTTTCGATTGTCAAATTAAATCAATTGAAAAAATAAATTAATAAAAATGTACGTAAAAAATAAAAAACAGTGTACGAGTACTTCCAAAAAAAATAAATAAAAAAATTTGTACTGACATCGAAGTGGGTTTGTAACCAACGAATTAGGCAGTCTTCCCGAGTCTTGGCGGCTTTTGAAGGAGACGTGGCATAAGTAGCTTTTTTTTTAATTTGAAAATTGGCTTTTGCAGTTTCAAGAAACGTGCCGCGTCACTTGCTGGACTGCTTTTGAAGCCCCGCTGACGAAACTTTTTAATTAAATTTATTCTCTCCCCAATATATACCACATTATAATCCATAATTTTTGCTTCCTTCCTTCCAATCACCCTAATCTCATTTCTCAATCTCTCAACATTCATAAATTGTTCTAGTTTTATACAACTTGGAGATGATGATGCTGAAGACCCCAACTTCTGTAAGTCCCTCTTTGCAATAGCTCTCTTTAAATTTCTCGAGTTTTGGTTTCGAAGTATGATACTTTCTTTCTCCCTCTGCGTTCATCATTTTCTTTGTTTTTTTTTTTTTTTTTTTTAAATTGGTTTATGTGGCTTTTTAATGTCCAATCTTGTACCCTTTTAATTAATTTGGTTTATATTGTTTTTGTTCTTTGCTCCTGCAATCAGATTTCTCACGAGGACCCAAAGAGGAGGTTCTTTAGTTGCAGTTTCCTTTCTACCATTGCTATGCTTTCTGCAGTTCTCTTCTTTGGGAGCCAATTTGTTGTCACTGATTATAAAGAGGTACTCTCCTCGCCATGATTGAATATATATAATTATACTATATATTAACCTTGCTCTTTTTAAATGTGATACGTTGTTCATATTATTGATATTGTTGATACTTCGACCTTACGGTTGTTGACATGCGGTTGATATGGTTGTCAATATATCATCAATAAACCTGATCACATTTTAAAAAAAAGTGCGGTTAACCGCATTGAATAAGTAGTATATATGTATATGCATACAGATTCAGCTGTTCTGCTTAACATGACATATTTAGTTCTAATTAGGCATTTTATTCGCAGAAGTTTTTAGCATGGGGATCGGTTTATGGTATGCAACATACAATTTCGAAAAGTTGCGAGGTTTGTTCTTATATAGCACTTGACTTTTCTTTATAATTTGTATGTACAGTGGTTGATATTTGTAGTTGTGATTGATGATGTCCTACATGTTCAGACTCAATGCAGGCCTGAAGGAACTGAGGCACTACCTAAAGGAATTGTTTCCAAGACCTCCGACTTGCTAATGCAACCGTTATGGGGTCCCCGAAACAAAAAGGTAAGCCCGTGTTTCTGTGTTGATTGTAGCAATAATCTTAGGTTTTGATTAAGCAGCTTGAAGAATTTGGTAATTAGGGTTGTAGGCAATATGATTTGAATGTTGATATATGTTCTGCACTCCTTTTGTTTTAGAACACAAAGTCATCAACAAACTTATTGGCCATGGCAGTTGGATTAAAACAAAAGGAAAGTGTGAACAAGATTGTAAAGAAGGTAATGGAGAGCACAATTGTTTCTCATCCCGTTGTTTAGTTTCTTCGATCTTTGAATTCAATGGATTTGATATCTCATTGTATTTGATTTCGCAGTTCATATCAAGTGATTTCGTTTTTATGCTTTTCCATTACGACGGTCATGTAAACGAGTGGAGAGATTTGGAATGGAGTGGTAAGGCCATTCATGTGTCCGCTATGAATCAAACTAAGTGGTAATTTCCCCTAGCTATAATTCGAAACTGAAATTTGCACTTGCTCGATTTTTCCTAGTCAGTTCTAGTAACTTGGTCCGCTTCCTTTTTCACATAGGTGGTATGCCAAGCGTTTCTTGCATCCAGATATTGTTTCTGAGTACGAATTCATCTTCCTCTGGGACGAGGACCTTGGAATCGAAAATTTCAATGCTGGAAGGTGCTTGCCCAATTCGTACATGATTCATGCATTAATTGATGTGAACAATTGCATCCAAATATTGTTTCTGAGTATGAAACCATATTGCTTTCTTTCATATGCAGATACTTATCCATTATTAGAAAAGAGGGGCTTCAGATATCACAACCAGCACTAGATCCTGACAACTCTGAGGTGCATCATCTTCTTACGGCGAGAGACAACAGAACAGAAGTACACAGGTGTGCTGTCTTTCCTAAGAAAATAAGGAGACTTGCATCAAACCTAATTTGAAATTTGGCCGCAGGCTCTAATAATACTCATGTATTCTCAGTATATTCTTCACTATTTGCTTTAACTTAGGTCGAAGTAAACGGTTCACTTTCACATTTCCTAAATTGCTCCAATCTTTTGGTTGGTGATGCATTAACAGGAAGATAAACAAGACGCTTCGTGGTGGAAGGAAGTGTGATGAAAACAGCACAGATCCTCCATGCACAGGGTACGAATTTTGCATACACACATAGATGAGTATAGTTTACTCACACGTGCATCAATCCATGTATGCTGCATCCGTTCCTACACGTCTTAATTATATGTATGGGCAGGTTTGTAGAAATGATGGCTCCTGTTTTTTCACAAGCATCGTGGCGCTGCATATGGCATATGATTCAGGTACGACAAGGTTTAAGTCTTCTGCATTGCTTAATGATAAGATTAGATTCGGTTTTAACATGTATTATCGAAAAGGATGAGATCAGCAGGAAGCTAAAACTCATGTATAATCTGGTTTTCGGCAACGAATAAGATTTTTAACAGTTCTCTCATTTCTTTACCTTTTTTCCCCCTCACAAACAGAATGACTTAGTTCATGCTTGGGGCTTGGATTTCCAGCTTGGTTATTGTGCACAGGCAATTTTTCTATCTTGTAAATTACATTTTCTTCACCCGTTCTATTCTGTGCATTTCTCATGTCCGAATCAATCCTTTACAGGGTGATCGAACTAAAAATATCGGAATTGTTGATTCTGAGTACATTATTCATTATGGTATTCCTTCATTGGGGGGTTCGGCAGCAAACAAGGTCAGAAATTTCGTACAACTCTCTGTCTCTCCTCAACTCGTCTGTTTTGCGAAGGTATAATTTTCGTATGATTTGTTTAAATCACGCTAATGGAGAAAATCACCAATGCAGACAAATGCTGAAGCAAATGATCAACCTGCTCAAAATATAAACTTGCCTAGTTCAGAACAGCCGGTATCTGACCCTAGAACCGAGGTAAGAATTCTAATGAAGTTCTTTGTACGCATAAATATTTCTCCTAGCCCGAAGCTTGTACCGTGAACTTAGGGATTCTCCGAATTCATCGTTCTTACATGTATTATTTTCAGGTGAGGAAGCTATCCTTGGCTGAATTGGAAACTTTCAAGAACAGATGGAAAAAGGCAATCAGAGAAGATAATTGCTGGATTGATCCATTCCAAAAGAACATCACAGCTAAGTAAAAACACGAAGAGATTGATTTTCTAACCAATCAAAGCATCCAGGAGCCCTTTTATTCGTAGCATACATGTGGAATTTGTGAATAATATTCTAATATCACAATTTGTAGCATTCAATTGGTAAAATTTATATATCATCTCAATAATCTATATACTAACACAAGAAACATGGAAGTGGATTTACCCCTTAATTCTCTCAAATAAGCAATTATAAAAGTATCAAAGACCGAAACGGCTTCTTCTGATAATCCCCTTAAGGACTTCCCCAAGTTCTTCGCCGCGATCCTCCTGCACGTGATGGCCTGCCTGAAAAACCCGATAAACAGGTTGCGTAAGTTCTCAAAACTAAAAACCCCAGACAATGGAAGAGGATGGTACCATAGGAATTTCAATAAGCTTATGTGTGCATGTGTGTGTAAAGCTAAAACTTGTGCTGCATATGTGCATAGAAGAGGATGGTACCATAGGAATTTCAATAAGCTTATGCTTAGAATCCTTGCAGAATTCTTCAACGCCGTCATAACTCAACCACCTGTCTCTTTTGCCCCAACAGACTGTGGTCGGAACTTTCCAGTCTTCATCTGTTAGTATAGTCTTCATTTCACCCACATACTTCTGCCAAAAGCAGCATACGAAACTGCATTAGCAGCGTAATAACCCGGTTTAGTGAAAAATTGATTATGCTTTGAGCCAAACTCTAATACAAATCCAGGGCCCTATACGGTGGCCATCACCTGTTTCCCCTCAGGGCTGGCCCTGCATAATTTAATGACTGGCATTGGACTTCTATGAACAGATAATTTTGTGAGATGTAAGTAAAACATGACGGTAGGGAGGAAATTGGCCACTCATAGAACGTTAAGAGGAAAATCAGCAGTAAGGTGCACATGCAGGAGGGAAATCGACGAAATACTAAGTACAATATATGATAAGAAGGTTCACCTTCAGGTCTTTCTTCATGGCCCTGCTAATTGCATTTAGTGCAAAACCGGAGGCTCCGGATGTGAGGTAAGGATTTCTGTAGACCATAGCATCGTCCTCTTTCATTTTGTAAGGTCCGGAGCTTTCCAAGGCTTTATCACTAGCCCTCAGAGGATCCTAGTCGATCATCACACAGAGAACGTTAATGAACAAGTTTAAATTGGAATGATATTCTCTTTTTTCTCGGCAACCAAACAGAAAATGCATATTTTCTTACCTGAGAAAATATTTCACCCAACAAAAAGTTGCTGAAAATTGACAAGGTTGATGGAAGGTTGGCATGCTTCTCTGTTAGCTTTAATAAAAAGAAAAGATAACATTATCTGCCTGAATAAGTTTACAATGCAGCAAGACAACACTATAACATCCATCATAATTCTGTTTCTAATCTTCAGATTTCTTCTTGAGAAATAAGACACCGATTTCTAAATAAGAAAACCTTGCGAAAACTCCGCAATTTGTTCAAAATGACAAAGTATGAGTTAAAAAACGAAGAAAGAAATGGTGGATTTTGCGAGAGTACATACCGGAGGATTTAAGAGTATTAAGTTGTCAATCTTTTCCTGATGACCGCTAGCGTATTTAACTACAACCGGCGCAAAGTATCCCTGAGAGGCACATTAAAGATCAGACTTCTTTTCAATTGCAGGCTTTGAATTACATGTTTATATATTCACTGGAGAAACAAAATACCTGGACAACGAGCGTGACCTTGTTAACAGTAACTTCGTTTATGAACGACTCCAAGGATGCTACAAACTCTGCATAACCATGAAAAAACTCGACGACATGAACAAGAGTAGTTTTTGCATTTCTGCCTGACTTCGTAAGAGATAAGACCGAAAACAATTACCATTCATAGTGTAGTCAAATCCATATTTGGGTTGAGGCTTATCTGAAAATCCAAAGCCTGCAATTGAAGGCAGATGCAACAAGCAACTGATCGAACTGCTTTTCAAGCGAACCAAAAATAGAATTGCACGAGTAGTTCATGTTGAGAATTTCAACTGCATTCAGGATATAAGCTAAACTTGTGATCTTGATTCTTACCGAGCCAATCAAATGCAATCGCGTGATAGTCCTTCGAAAGTATGGGAAGAACTTTGCGGTAAGAGTATGCCTGATGATTTGAACACATTCATGAATAAACAGAAGATCAAGACATAGATGGGAGCTTGAAATTGGATTTCACAAGTTAAAACATGCGTTTAAATCATACAGATATACAACAACACAAAAATTGTAGAAGGCTTCCTGTCCTACTATGAAAAATTACGACTGACTCACCTGAGAAGGGAAACCATGAATTAATATAACTGAAGGATTATCAGCACTTCCGGATTCAACGCAAAACCATCTATGGAACAAAATCATATATACAGAGCATGTTTCAATTGGTAAGCCCTGCAAATAATCCAATCTCAATGTCTGTATTCCACAGAAACATATAAACAAAAACACTATACTATCAAATGTCCAAAGATAATTTATAAGTTCACCTGAAAACATCAGTGGAGGCCTGAGAATCAGCGCCCATTGCGAGTCCAAAAATCGGGTCTTTTGCCTTCTCGCCGGAACCAAAAGCAGCATAAGCTTTCACCTAGAGGAAAATCAAAGTTATATATGGTTTAAGCATGAGATAAACTGCAAGTTGCTTTCAAATGGTTAAATTAAAGAAAAATAGGAAAAGGACTCACGATCTTCCCTTGCTTAAACCATTCATCAGAAGGACTTGGTCCATCAGAATACTTTCCTGCCAAAACACCCCACATTTCCACTTTAACTTTATAAACACACACAATAGAGACTAGTGAGAAAAGAGAGTTGCTATGAGCACTCCGAAAACAGTCATCCTGCACGTCTAAGAGCAGGATGACATAATTGTAGCGCAACTAACAGCTCCCTCGAAAAATGCCAGAATTAAGTAAGCACCTCCACTAAAGGAAAACCCATCACCCACTTCAACAGGAGCATCAATGTAATAATCCTGGCAAAGAAAATATAGTCAGAAATCAATAAAAAAAAAAAATACAGCAATTAACATTACAAAAGTTAGAAACAAAGATCAAAGAAAGAATCGTTACATCCTGGCCGCTGGATCTGCAGGTGAATTTGAGGGGCTTCTTGTGGTGGTTGGATTTAAGATTATTACCAACAAGTGATAGGGATGATGCAGGAATATGGTTGTGAAGTTGACGAGCATAATAACATAGAGAAGGCGTTTTGGCTTGCGTTGCTGCCATTGCTGCTGCTTAGTAGTTGGTGGTTAATTTGTGTAAACTGTAATAACGGTAGCAAATTAGCAATGGCTGGAGAGGGTAGTTGGTTTAACCGCTGATATGGTTGCAAGTCATAAACTGAAAAATTAGTGGACAGGGTAGTTGGTTTAGGATAGACATTTTCTGGTCCTCATCTGCTGTGTAACACCATACACATATTCCCAAAGTTCCAAGTTTTATATTATGAATTTGGTTGGGATTCTTTAGGGAAAGAAAAATTCTACCAACTGTTAATGCATGCAGTCGACTATTACCATTATTAGTAGTTGATTATTTTTGAACAAATGATATTATCTACACTAAGGAAGTGGGGGGCTAAGTCTTATAATGGGCTAGCAATAATGTAATTATGTGAGCTTTGATTATATCCCTAAACCCTAAACCTTATTGCTTTTAGTATTAACAATTGATTCAAACACGCCACATAGTACTACGATCTAGTGATATTCTTTTTCACTTTTAAGTGAGAGGTCTTAGGTTCGATTCTCGCCAAAGACAAAGTTGAACCATATTATTATGGCAAGTCCATTATTATGTACTGACAAAGAAAACAATAAACATATTACTAGCTGAAGAAATTCACTTTTAAACCATATTTTAGTGCCTCTACTATGACTCCTTCCCTCTCTCTCCCCAAAAAATCCCTAAACTTCTGAAACCCTCCTTGACGTTGGCCTTTGGCTCCGGCTTGGGGTTGGCGGCAGCCTAGTGCCCTCCCCTCCTCGCCCTTCTCCCTTCCTCCCTTTCTCACCATCTCTCCTTATTTTTTCAACCTCCTCCATCTTCCCCTTTCTTCCACCCTATTCTTTTGGTTTCCACCCTTTCCTCCGATTTCCCCCACTTCTTCCCTTCCCAGCACCTTTCTTCCCCCTCCCCCTCAATCTCTCACCCCAACCACCCCTTTTGCTTCCCCATTTCAAGCTTTCCTCTAGTTTCCTTTTTTTTCCTCCTCTGTTTATGGTTTTTTTTTCTACACTACTCTACTTTTGCTTTACTTTGGCTTTCTTTGAGCTATGTCTCAATTCCTTGGGCTTTGTCTCAATTCCCCTGAGTTTGTCTCAGATCAAAGCCTTTATGCACCTCTCTTTCTCCGATGCTTATTTTCGTCGCATGTCCTCAATTACCAACCATTGCTACTTAGTCCAAGTGCTTCTCCTTGGCATCGTGCTTGGATTTTTAATGGCTGTTAAAGTGCATTTAGCACTATTTTGTAGGATTATGGGAGCACTCATTGCGTGGGTGGCTCGCTCACCCCCATTTTTTGTTGATCCAATTGTTTCGTTTGGTTCGTTCTCTTGGTGGTGGTGGCCTTGCATTGGAGGCGTGTCGACTAACTTGGTGGTGGATGCTGGTTTCCTCTCCATTGTTAGGATTTTTTGTTGTTTCTTAGTTGGGTCTTTTTGGGCTTTCTGTTGTATTTGTTTTTTCCTGTTGGGCTTGTATTTAGATTATGTGCTGCATTTTGAGCTCTCTTTTTCTTGTACTAGTCTTTTTATTTAATGAAAGTAACTTAGTTTGACAAAAATAAAAAAACCCATATTTTTTATACAATTGACATATAACTCAAAACAAATCCAAACTGTAGTGAAATTCAATCTCGAAAGCATAAGCAGACCCACATCTACTATAGCCTATGTAATTAGGCCTACGTTTGCAACTAAAACCATTTAGATGTAAAATATATGTGTAGATTGTAATCTTTTTCAAGGTTTTAAGTTTTAAAGCTAAAAAGCATGAAAAACCAAAGCCCAATCCAAACCTTGAACTAAAATTTGTTATGTTGTTGACCCAATTACAGACCCGACCCAATTGAAACCGCCAAGAGCAAACTACTCAAAACGGGTTTAGCCTCCACTAGCGATGTACAGACAGAGAATCAGATATGGGGCTTCAGCTTCTCAAGCTCCCAAATCACACCGTAATCTCCTGCCGTTTTGCAAGAACTAGTTCAAGCTTCTCTTTTCTCTTCTCGCAACCCAACTTACAGGAGCTCACTGGTCCTTCTCTCTTCCTCTCCATCTGATTTTATTTTTGTTGCTATTATTTGATTCTCCAAGTCGAAAGTAGCTTAATTTTCATTGGGGAATTTTCACAAGCACCTGGGGTGCTATCATTTGGCTCTGCATTATTTTCCTTTGCATGGCAATTGTATTATAAAGTTTTTCATTTTTTGTGGTCTAACACTTGAAATCTCCAATTCTTTAAACTGGGTTTTATGTTCAGCGAGATGGGTCGGAGTGCCAATGCATAGAACCTTTGCTTCTGTGAAGTTTGCAAAGGCTCAACCACCAAAGAAGTAAGCTTTTTAACCTCCAGACTAATTTATGAAGTTTTCTTTCCCTTAATTATATAGTTACTATTGTGTTTGAGAAATGACAATTTTAGGAGGAAGAGGCTAGATGAGGTATGCCTCGAGAGGTTTCAACAGTATAGTCGAACCTTCATCCAGTCATGGATCTTACAAGGTGAGCATTACAGTTGAATTACAAAGGTCATTAATAGAAAGAAGGGAATATGCACAAATAGAGCGGTTATAGCTTTGAATCGAAAAGAGTAAATACAGCTTATTGTTGGTTTAGTATCCCCCTATTCTATTTTGATTTTAAGTTTATGACTGGTTTCATTTTTGCATATTTCTCTAGAAAGAAATTTGGGTAAAGATCTAAATTGGTTTGTAGTCAACTTCAGCATATAAAATTCAGGATTTTTGTCACACTCTGACTGTAGTATATGCTCGTGAAAATCTGTTTTGCACAATACTTCATCTTGTATATATGCTGAAACTGCTGTTAAATATATATAACATGGTAGGGACTATGGAGGTAATTTTGGTTCATGTTTACTGGTGTAGGGAAAGTATTTGTGGATGGAAAGGTAGTCAACAAAGCCGGGACTCCAGTCTCGGACAAAGCTGTTGTACATATAATGGCTGAAGTCCCAAAATATGTATGTAGGTGATTACTTCACTTTGACAAACCAACTTTCGCTTTGTTTATACTGAAAATTTGGTTGTGCTGTAACTTCAGCGAGACCTTCTGTTCTAATTTGTACTTATATTGTCCATCCAGAGCAGGACACAAGTTAGAAGCTGCCATTGAACAGCTAGGTATTGATGTTTCGGGCAAAGTAGCTCTTGATTCTGGGTTGTCAACTGGTGGATTTACTGACTGCTTACTTCAGTACGGTGCATCATTTGTTTATGGAGTTGATGTAGGTTATGGGCAGGTAATACAATTATTAGGTAGTAATTCAAGTTTTGTTCCATTAATTGAAAATGTAGGTTTATCAGTAGGGTTGGAGGTTCTATTTTTCCCTCTAATTTTCATGACTATAGAAATGAATATCGAATGGAATTACCATGGACTGTGCCTTACTTCTCTCTGATATTCCTATACTCAACAATTGATTGCTTATCATTAGGTGGCAGAAAAAATTCGGACGCATGAACTTGTTAGCGTGATAGAAAGAACAAATTTAAGATACCTTCCTGGACTCCCTCAAAAAGTTGACTTGGTGACTTTGGACCTCTCTTTCATCTCCATTCTATTGGTATGCTTTCAAAGACTTGTAAATGTATATTGTTATCTGGTTCTTTGGCTGTTCCAATCTCACTTTTATTTTCTGTTACGGGAAATTCCGAGGATTTGTTGCTTGTATAATTCTGTATGTTCTCTATGTGCTATTCCCCATGGAAAAAGAATATACTTTCTAAGAAATTTGGAGGCTAGGTAGCTTTTTTTTCACTATTATGCCAATGGGTTTTACACTTGGTCACGGCTTCTTTTAATTTGGAAGCAGGTCATGCCTGCTATAGTCAATGTGATGAAGGAAGAGGCGACACTGGTCACCCTGGTTAAACCTCAATTTGAAGCTCGCAGATCACAAGTAAGAGTCTTGCATCAACCCATACTTACCTTTGGAAGCTATTTTGATTTATTTTACTTGAAATTAGAAAGTATAGCAGAGATGACAATATAGAGAAGGAGTTACCTTCCTTATCCAGGCTACAACAGTATGCCAATGCAACTGCTATTTGATATTTAAAAAAAAAAACCTTTCGAACAAGGAAATCATGAAAAACATTGTGCATTTATATCTGGACGTTTCCAGAATAACGAATATTTCCTTTGCATGTATATGCACCACTCTGTATAAGAAAGTTGTGTTGCTTTGATCGAACTAACTTTTCTCTTCATGCTAATCCTTGCATAAAACTTAAGGCAGACTCTGATAGGTCTACATTTATAAGTTTTCTCTACTCTTTATGTTGCTCAATGCACGGAGCAATTTCTACGTAATTTACAGATAGTTTGGATTGTTTCTGTGTAAGTAGCGTGTTGGCTTTCAGTACTTTCAAGGGTGGAAAATCTAGAATATTCTAATTTCAAATGCACAATGATGAGATAAGGATCGATGTTGTCCAGAAAACAACAACAACAACAACATCATCCCCCAACAAAGCCTTGTCCAGAAAACATTGTAAGCAAAAGTTTAACAATTCAGAAGTTCATTTTCTTTGCAGGTAGGAAGTGGTGGGATTGTGAGGGATCCATTAATCCATCAAGAAGTAAGCATTTCTTCCTTGTTTTTATCTGGTTTCTTTCAGCCTAATATCTAAAAGAGAACAAGAATCCCTTTTATTTTTCACCATCTTGTTAAGTCATTTTTTAGCCCTAACCGAGGCCTAGTGTATGCCTCCTCGTATCTGGCTGTTTCACTAATTGTGAGTTCATCGGCTTCGTGATAATGCAACATAATTAGCAAATTGCTAAATAATGGTACTTAATCAATTAATCACTGAATTCGATTAATGTTTTGATTGTTCACAGCCCGATATTGATTAAGTTTTGTTGTATAGGTTCTTGATAGGATTATCAAGGGTGTAGAGAATTTTGGATTTAGCAGCAAAGGATGGATCGAGTCTCCACTTAAGGGTGCTGAGGGCAATACAGAATTCCTCGTTCACTTTACTCGGACAGCTAAGAGAAGTGAGGATGAACTTAAAACGTTAAATATGACAGAACCTGTTCATTCTCCCGAATCTGCCATTAAGGAGTAGCACAAAACGGAAGATAGGGTTAGCAATCCCAATTGTCCGGGGTCCAAACGTTGTTACTTGAAATCATCAATTAGCTTATTTGAAAAGGTTTTTCTACAATTGTAAGGATGAGCAAACTGCATAATGCGATCTGATATTTCGGGTTTACTTCCGGTTTACTCCAGTATTGTGAGGAAGACAGAGTTCTGCATGATTCATTGAACATATTTTCTTCTTCAATTACAACTTTTATGATTGTTCAGCATCTCTAAAGGGATTCTAATGCCAACCACTTGACCTACAACCGAGAGCCAAGATGCCAAATATTGTTCAACTGCAACTTCATTTTTAGGCAGAGAATTATCACCAAGGAAAACCAGCTTCATCCACTCACTGGTTCCACGTGGATGCAGCTTATACCATGGTCTGTTCAGGTATGGATGCTCCTACAAATACCATATATGTTCAGATGTTTGATTCAATATTAGCAACTAGAAAGAATGTCTTTCCTTTATATGTTCTAAATTATTCTAATCTACAGGATGTGGATTTGAAGAGCGGACATACTGCCTTGGCCAATTGACCTAACCTGTATATGCATCGTTTATACAAATCTTTGCAAAGTAACTCTAACGGAACAAAGAAGTTTGGCAAGAACAGAAAGCAAGCATCGAAAGATAAGTGAAATGATTGCGACGGAGATTGAGGAATACGTACCTCCTGAGTTATAAATGTCCATTTTGATTCCAGTAAAACCTTCGATGAGCAAGCAGGTAGGTCCTTTTCGATTTCTTCCAATGCCAAAGGCTGTCCATCTATATATATCGTTCAATGTTACGAAGATTAACACTTGCATTTTACTAGCAAGAATCAACCATGGATTCCAAAGCGATTCACTGAATTTTGCTGCTTAAGTAGCTGATAACAGGTTAACATACCGATGTAGTAACTGCGAAAATACAGCACGGGAACCCGATATGAATCACTGTAGACTATATGGAAGTCGTGGTAATATACTTGAGGACTACTGGTCTCAACCTTGCAAATAGGAAATACAAAAAATGGTAAGATGATTGAGTTGCGGCAGGGTACAAATGCAATCAGAGAATTTACGCATAAATGGCAATGCTCGAGAGTCGTCCACGGCAACAATGCATCAATGGTTGGAATCGTCGCTTAGGCGTGAAGGACTGTCGCTAGCAAAATCTTTACAATATGGTCAGCTATATGCTCACCAGAGTGGCATTATCTACGGGCTCAGACCCCTCTTCTTCCTCAGTGTGATTCTCTTCATTAACATCTTCCTAAGACAGATAATTAATAAACAAAGTATGATTAGCAGAGTTGACAAATGTTAATCCGAGAAGCCGCCTGTCTTAATACCCATTGACCCACGTGTCCTACCTTGCTTGACCCGAGAAGGCAAATCCTCTCCAATGACAAGTAGCCCCGCTGCTGCTGCAACTGAGAGCGATGAGGAGAAGGAACCCAATTCCATGGAGGAAAGGGGGAGTTGAATTCTTTCCAGTTGTCCGCAAAAGCACGTGCTGCGACATAGAAGTCACGTGACGAGAGGGCTCCATCCCATCCCAAAACCTCCATAAAATTCGTGTGATTTCCTTTCCTTGTAATTGAGAATTCAAATCGGGTTTGAAATTCTTTACTTCGGATGTCCTTCAAATTTCAAAGGGATTTTTATTACAAATGATCCTTAAAATTGACCTATCCAATCAATATGATTTCTGAGATGAAAATCGATCAATGTAGTCCTTGAATATAAATGCTTGAAATTAATGTTATCTTTCTGTTATAATTCCGTCAAAACTTCTGCTACCGGCCCTGCGCATCTTTTATGTAAGAATAATTTGTATGGGTTCAGTCCATTGGGGAAAGGTTTTGTGAAAGGATTTGCAATGTTTTGGCTGGTCAGGGCGGACTGTGGCAGAGAAACTTAATTGATTTTTTTGGATCTAAGTATGACTCATATTTATGTCACATCAGCATACTAATAGAAATTTTGATAAAATTCTAACGAAATGATGAGATTGACATGTAGCACTAATATTCAGAGACAAAATTGGTCAATTTTAGATTCTTAATTAAGTGAGCCAATTTTAGAGAACATTTTGAGTGTTGTTTAATTACACGGGATTTGACACCCATTTTTTCTATTCCTTTTTCCTTTCCCTCTTTCATCTCAATATTACCTCTGGTAAACTCATTAGTCATTACTAATCTTTAGTTTGTATCAAGATTTTAAAAGATGCTAGGCGCTAGTTAGGCGGTGGGCTAGGGCCTAGCGCCTAGGCGAACTAGACGGATTTAAGTAAATCTATTATATTTCCTGTAAATAAGTGTCTGTTTATACTTAAAATATATATAATTTTATCATAAACTAAAAAATAGAATGACAAATATATATATTATGAAGTATTTGACCATAATGAAAACATGAGGAACAAGCATATAATGTACGTTCATTTAAGTATTCAACAAGTCTCTTACAATTTATTGAAAAATAAAATAAAATGCAAAATGAAAGTTATCTATTTTCTGTCTAAGAGAGTCGCAACCTAAGCGGGTTTGGGCGGGTGAGGCTGGTGCCTAGACGGTCTAGGCGGGCACCTTGGCAGGTCTAGGGACCCTTTTTTTAATTTTCAAACGTTTAAGCATTAATTGGGACGGTGGTTAGCGGCCTAGACCCTAGGCGGAGATTTTTAAAATGGTCTGTATTGATATTTTCATCCACATTCTGCGCACAATGTCATATGGTTGCACAATTACAAATTCATAAGGAATTTAGACGGAAATTTTCATTTGAACTGAGACTGATAACGCGATTAATCGCAGGAGCATTGTTCAAGGGGTTTTTTTTTTTTTTCTTCCACCAGAAAGGTAACATTTATACATAATGCAATGCAACACCACATGGATGATTTGTGCAATTTCGAATGGTTTCATAAATCGATTCCGCTGCAACGATAACCATGGGACAAATGTTAGCTCAAATACACAATACACTTATTACAAAATATACAGCTGATACGAAAATTCGGAACTAGAAATTTACTGCTACTAAGACATACAACGCCGGTCATTTATCAATAACCTCTCCTCGATATGATGAATATAGAACTAATGATCGGCAAAACTTGTGAAAATTTATGCTTCGCCCAACCGGAGGCACCACTTCTGAGCAAGACAAGTCACAGCGTCGATCTCAGGGCTTCGATGGAGTTGGGGAAGATGGCGGTTTCAAATCTGGATACTGCATCGGAAACAACCAAAATGAAAAAAGTACATGAACAAACAGACATGACCCTATTGGAAAAGAAGTTTGAAACTGCCAATGGATTGTGCAAAATCCACCCACCAACATTGGTCAATGGAAGCCATAACGCTAGAACAAATGAGATTAAACCATCTTTTAAGGTAAAGCATACGGTGTCGATAATTAAGGATATGTAATCTTTTGTAACTAGTAATTGTTAATGAGAAAGAAACTGAACATACGCTTGGGTAGGGAGAGGATGATCTAGAGCCATTTTTCATTTGTGATGCGGAGTCGGTAGACTTGGTTGTGCGTCCATTGTCTGTCGTTTGACTTTCTCCTGTGGACAAATTTCTGGAAGTGACAGCACCATTGCTGTCTTCCTTTCCCCGAACAACTCCGTTTGTCACAGTTTCTTGTGAAGTTTTAACCTTCTTCTTGGGGTATATATGCATAGAAGGTGGCAAAAGAGTTTCTTGTGATTCCTGAGGAGGAAAAAGGCAAACACATTATCTAAGAAAACATAACCGGCCAAAACACTTTAGCAACTCCTCGTGTTAAAAGTTGAACTGCAGCTTCAGAATTCTTATACGCACTCATCAAACAGTCTTTAAAACACCCTAGAAGCAATTTCATACCTATGCAGTAAATCATTTCACTAGTCAACTTGGAAATTTTTCTTTAATTAGGTTGTTATCGGTACAACAGAAAAACTTAAGCAGTCAGAGAATTCAAATTTTCCCATATGCATAATGTATGCCTTTATAACTTTTTATGGTGCTGGTACACATATCCAGAAAAGGAAAAATGTTCCTCACTCTAGGGTTATAGGGTTCTCTACTACATTTGGAATTCGGATGGCTCCATCAGAATCTTACACATCCAAATTTTTTTACCAAGATTCAATCAATCAAAAAACATTTCAACCACATTCTCCTGAACAGCATCAACACAAAGGCTGTCTCAATGGAGCTAGAGTTCAAATTAATCGCAGATACCGTGAAACGGAAACTAGAAGAAAAGAAAAAGACGCTTACCAGCCACCCTTTTGTACCTCCAACCCCACCCTTGATTGCATAAGCCTCTTTGAAACCATTCTTGAACAGTAACTCAGCCACTTTGATGGAAATTCCATCAAAACTACCTTCCAACAAGAGAAACCGATACTGAGATTACACATACCTTTAAATCCAAAAAAATGAAATAAACTTATCTTCCTTCCACGAGATGTCATTATGGCGGTATTTAAGCTGGCTTGGGATACTGTCACACTAGCATCGGAGGTAAGTTTTTCTCCTAGAACTAGACACTCATCGTAGACATAAACTATCAATCCATATCTAAGGCATGCTTGGGATTGCTTCTGAGTGCACTTTTAGTGCTTACTACGTTTTAAAAAAACCCCTCCTTGGTTGTAGAAGTGCTTTTCCAAGGAAGCACTGGGATTTTTAACATAAATTTCTTTATGTTTATAATAAAACCACTTCTAGCATAAATTCAAGTAAAAGATGAAGCTAAAGCAAAATCTTTATACTTACTTGCCCAGAACACAAAGCACAGTCTCTGCTGGGTTCGCAAACCTCTCCAAAACCCTTTTCACAAACCCAGCTTCGTCATCCTCCGAAAACGGAACCTGCACAGTACCCTTGTTCAAAATCTTCAAATTCGGAGACTTCAGGTACCCCAAGCTCTTCTGGTCTCGAATATCCAACAGCTGAGCATTCGGGTCGTCCCGGAGCTTCCGAAACGCGTCAATGACGAGGACAAACTTGTACTTTCTCAAATACGCCTGAACCAGAGGAATCACAACCAGCCATACGAACGTGCACCCAGCAACGAAAAACGGGTTCCGATTGAAAAAGTCATCGATCGAGACCAAGACTGATTCCAGGTTTATTTTGTCGGAAACTTGCTCCGGTGCGGAGGCTGCAGATTCGGAAGCGAAAGAAGGAAGGGCAAATGGGGTGGTTGCAATGAGCTCGGTGAGGAGGAATGTGAGTTGGGTTTTTGGTAATCTGTGGGGAAAATGAGTGGGTTTGAGAAGGAAAATTGGGGTGTGAGGAGTGTTTTTGGTGGAGGGAAATTGGGCGTGGGAAGAATTGGGTGGCAGGGAAGTGGAAATGGCGGGAATGGTGGTGGTTTGGGGAAGAGAGGTTGGTGGAGAGGTGGATGGTTTCTGGGCTTTGAGGTGGTTTTGGGGTGGTGGAGAAAAGGAGAGAATCATGGAGAGGGACTCCATTGGAGGAGGAGTGAGGGGAGATGGAGAGAGAGAAGATAAGGCCAAGAAGGTAAAGGATGATCAATGGAATTGGATGGTGGATTTTGGGTAGTAACAAAAGCAACCCATGACCCAAGAGTTCAGCCCAATTTATGTCTATAATTTTGATTTTTGGGTGGCAACGCAATTCACACTCCTTTTTTTCTCATGACATTTCTACTTGTTGTTAGACTTTTTTATTTTTTACAGACGATGGCGTTAGTATGTCAAATTTTTAGTTGTTAAAAGAAGAAGGCTCGATGGGGATTGAACACATCATTGCGGTAAAATGTCAATCGAACAAATCAAAATGTAGAACACAAAAATAAAGAGTGCATAAGGAGGTAATTAGAGTGTATCTCTTGTTTCATGGCAGAAAATGACAATTTTAGATGCACACACAATTCGAAACCTGCACGAATATACCTAATTTATCCTATTTAATTAGAAGATAAATAAATGTAGTTTACATTATTTCTTCAGAGTTGGTACCAAAATTTTGAAGATAAATAAATATGACCAGAAAGAATTATAAGAAAAATAAAGTTGTAGTGCTATTTTAGCGTGATGAATTTTGATGACTGACATAACATTAGCGCGGGATGATTACCTTTTCTACTTCAACTCATGATATGAAAATAGAGCATTTTCTGAAACTAAATGAAGACGAAGTGTCATTAAACCAAATAAAGTGTCATTAAACTAAATAATTGTTCATGGCGTGAGAAATTCCTCTACATTTTGAAGAGCTATTTCTCCATCTAGCATCCCTCTTTGTAAAAATGATCTCATTCTTCATTCGGACATGACATTGGTATTAACAGACTTCGAAAAATCCGGTCAATGCATTTGTCTGTACGGAGAGATTCATGCTTCGATAAAATATTTCTTTCATTCTTCCTATATGTTGTTTACGAAATTAGGTTATTTTAGGATTATAGTTGATGGTTCTTTAGCAATTTCATTAATTTCTACCATTCATGGTGCTAGCGTAAAAATACTTTATTTAAAGATGATGATGGTAATACATTCCGTACTTTTAACCCAACTCAAGCCGGAGAAACTTATTTCTCTCACCTCACAACCTCCATACTTGCTAATTACTTGATCAATTATTGTGAAAGAAAAATGTTTGCAAATATATCTCCATAATTGGATGGCTGGACCCTCACGATTTACCGATGAAAATTTTCCATAGAAACGTTTCAATATACGATCACCGGAGGTACGAGGCATAAATACCATTTCCGGTACGTTACGTTATAAAATACTTGGTTTTCTTATCTAAAACTGGCATGATCCCTTCAAAGTTTTCAGCATGTCAAAAAAACCTCCATGAATGATCAACCTGTTGGCTATGTGCATTTTGCATGCAGTCAAACTAAAACATAAGGTAGATCAAAGAAAAACATATACAAAAGTAAAAACAAAGTACATATATTAGAGGATCAAATATCTTCTTGTAAATCCAACTAACAAATTAACAAGACAACTTTTTTTTTTTCTTTTTCTGGGGTCTTTTTCGGATACTAATATCATTCTTACATTGAACATCGACGAACTCAGAGGGTTAAAGACTAACCGTTAAACCGAGGAGGATCAGTGTCACTTTTTTGGCCGTCAAATTAGTGAAGGTACGCTGCAGGCTGGTACTGGTAGCCGGTTGCATAGTAGTTTCCATGAGCAGGAGACATGTTGTACGTAGCAGAACCCAGCAGGGAAGGGCAATGGTTGTCAGCAGGTCCCGGGTAAACAAACTGTCTGTCATACATGTACTGCGGGTACCTGTTATCAGCAACTCTAGGATAGAAAGTCTTGTCAGTAACAACATTAGTGATGCGGGGAGCATATCCAACACCGTTAGCACGAGGTCTCTTGGGCTGAGGCTTTGCTGCTTCAGCCACCCTCTTCTTGTCTGCCTTGGCCTTTTCCAGCTGAAGAACCCGTTTCTGAAGAGGATCCACTGGATACTGCTCCTCAAGCTTATGCTCTTCAATGGACTTGAGCACAGCCTTAAGGGCAGCCAGCTCTCGGTCGTTCACTTCATTCTGAAACAACAAATATTTGTTACATATATCTATTTTGCACTTATACATCATACTTTCTCTGGAAAACCCCATCAAATATCAGTACCATCTTGGGTTATTTTTCCATTGGCAAATTAAAGTCAACTTCATATTAAACAGATAATCAAATAATGCAAAATAGAATATAATTAAATTGAGAGCAAAAAACACCATGCAATAAAGATAGGAGTGATGAGCACCTGTGCTGTGGGAGATGCATTTCCAGATTTGACCGGCGAAGTTTTTCTTGCCTCTTTCAAGTAGGACTTCAGCAAAGGCACAGGAGAGAACATCTCCGTCAATTCGAAGGCAAAAGCCAAGTTAACTGCATCAATTTGCCGTCCACTATTCACTAACACTTCAATAACACCTGCAATGTCAACATTAACATAATCAGCTTCCAGAATATACAAAAGTTGAAGTTCATGCAAGGAAGAAATCATTTTTTTCAACTTCTAGGTTCTCAACGTTGATCCTTTAATCAAGCCTGCATTGTTTTCAGGATAATGTTATATGGGTATCGCTAGAATTATCCTGCCAATGCCAGGAGATTGGTCTCTGATGTTGCTGCACTTTTACACAATGACAGTAATGAAATGCAAGACCAGCTTATATAAGCTTATGAGTAACTCATCCAGGATGAATAGAAAGGAAGTTTGAGCAAAGTTGCAGTTCTAAAGATCTAGTGGGAGACAAAACATTACCAACTTATAGAATTGTAAACAAAAACATGCCAAAGACACATGCCAACAAGTAAAAGACAAGGGCAAAACAAAAGTAAAGAAGAAAAACATTTCTTTAGCTTGGAATAGTTCACATGGCCAAATTTAAGGACCGCATATTTATTTATCAAACTAAAAAAGTTTTGAATTTCACCTAATTGTATGTTTTCATAAAGAAAAACACGAACCTGGCATTCTCTCAGTCAATCCAAGAGAACGGCAAAGGTCAGCTGCTTGGCGACGACGCGAAACCATCGGTATTATCCTGAATAGATCTTCCTCATCAAAACCAGAGGAAATGCCAAAAGTTCCAAGAAGTTGCAAAAAGGCATGAGCCTCTAGTGAGTTCCCATTGCTAGCATCCATGTCAAGAGCATCCAACTTCGGCTTCCATTCTTCAGCAATTGCCTCTGCCATATCCTTAACCTCCTCTGTAATTATATCAGACGCAGAGACTAATTCTGGGTTTGTTAGTAGTGTGCTCAGACACTCCATCAACATGATACAAGTTCGACGGACACCCAACAGGTTTGCATCCTTCTTCCGGTCCGTATTGGGCCCTTCTAGGCGGTAAAAGTCTTCCAAAGATTCCAAGACAAATAAGGCAGGGTTGGCTGCAGCTCTTAGTGCAAGTGGAATTTCCTCCCTTATGGAAGCGAGGTTCTTTCGGTTATCTGATATAAATTTGTGGAGACCTTCTGTGTCCATCTGTTCACACAGCTTCGCTAACTGGGGATAGGACATCACCTTTATACTCCCCATTTCAGGACTTTTCATTTCTTCGCAGTTACTATCAGAAACTATCATATCTGGTGGTTTCTCTTCCACACTTGGTGGCTCACCTTGGCCATCATCAGTGACAACAGAAGGCTCCTCAGTTGATACCTTCCTTTGCTTCTCTCGAGCATTAGTAATAGCATATGCAGCAGCATCTCTCTTCTTTTGAAGAATCTCCAGTGAAGCTTGTTCCTTGGCCACAACAGCAGCTTGCCGCTTTTCTAACAGTTTTTGGGCTTCAACTGTTCGGGTTTCGAACTCCTTTTCTTGGCTTTCCAGCTCATCAAAACGCCTCTTTAAGGACTTTTCAAGACCGTGGAAATGTGCTTCAAGTTCTTTCCACTTCAAGTTCAGGGTTACAGCTCTGTGGCTCTCAAGTTCAGAAAATGCTTTCTGAAGTTGTTGTATCTTAGATGTTGTACAATCTATCAGCGTGGAAACGGAATGGGTATTATCCATGGCAAAGGATCTGGAGATAACAAAAGAGAGAAATGTCAACACATATTGACCTATCGACAGTCAAAGAAGCAGAAACAGCAGAAAAACTACATGCTAATTTTGATCTGATACAGCATCTTGTTTAAACTCATCATACCCCTAAAGTACACAGGTCAATACATGCATAATGAGATGTATACGAAGATTACAGTCTGCCAATATGTATCAGTATTCACTTGTATAATATAAAGAAAACTAAATTATTAGGAAAACAAATCCTTTCAGGTCTTGATATAAGTCCAACTACAAAGGTATTTAAAAATAGGGTAGTGCTATCCGCATATAACTTTTACTTCTCACACACCCCTCTCAATTTTTGGCCGTCGGATTGAATGAATTGAAGATCAATGGCCAAAAATTAAAAAGGGTGTGTGGGAGGTAAAAATGGGTGTGTGAATAGCACCACTATCATAAAAATATTGTTGGCTTCGCTGAAGGATAAGGTGGATGTCATCGCCTTCTCAAGCTGCCTCAAACATATATCGATTGGGCAATCATCCATACGAAAACAGCTTAATAAAGATACTAAAAAAAATTGACAGATTACTTTCCCAATGTAACTAAATTTGACAAATAGAAGAGGGAGCTTCAAGGATGAAGTTAAACCAGATCAGAGATCCCATAACCGCCCAATGAAAGGGAAACCATCAAATTGGGATGGATGTGCTCCGCTCAAAGCATCAAAATGATCTCAACTTCATAGTTTCGACTTAGAATAATACTCGCACTTTCAAAACAAACAATTCAGCATGCAAATAAAGTAAAAACAGTACGTGGTCCTATATATCATCAAAAGGGAATGTTAGCTCATTAAATCCACTACAAACTTACCTCCCTAATTATTCTAATCAATAAAATTATCCTCAAATCACCAAAATTACACATTTACAGCAAAAGTAGCAACCTTGAGGAGCATTAACCTCAGTCAATCAAACTGACAGAAAAAAATGACAACTAAATTCAAACAAACTGCAGCCAAA